GTTTTACTGGAGGGGACACCAATGTTGCAGTCAAGTGAATGGGAAGGTTCGATAGCTGCTTTCCTTGAGTTTGGTTGTGCTGGATTAGCTTCAGGTTAATTTGAGCCACTAACGCCGGCCAGTGTGTTGGCTATTCATCTTGGCGGCTTTTCGCCGAAAAAGACCACATTGAAGGAGTTGGGCTAATTTCGCAACATAGAGATCATACATACTAACTCTAGAGGAAAAGGTCCGCCATTTTCCCATACATTCTGGCTGCCGCAAGCGGCGGATCATGCAGGCAGACCCTCGGGGTCCCAAACACGGTTACATCATCAGAGCAGTTTCGTGAACTTCAACAATCCACGAACTTACCGGTGGAAAGATATTCGCGTTCCTTTCGAAGCTTTCTTTTTGCATAGCGCGCAGATGTACGGCCTCGCGTTAACGCTAAACTAAACCATATACCCGGCTTCGCCGGTGGGGCGCAGCTGGGCGCAGTTGAGGAATACGAAACTGCGCAACCACCAGATTTCCGAGATTTCGACAGAAGGGAAGTTAATGCAGCGTAATGACTTTATTGCTTTTTATAAGCGTTAGAATAGCTCATAATTTAGTTTACAACGTTAAATTATCACTGTTTATATTGCTGAGAGTTTTCACTCTTCGCGTTTACCATGGCAACGTTGCTTTCTTTCTCTCGTATTCTGTCGCTCTCTTTCGCGATCTTTCACTCAAGACCCAGGATGTCGGCGCGCGGGATTTGCCACTCCTCCTCACCCACCTTTACCCCCCTGTTTCGCAATTACTTGATTCAGAAAACCTGCTCGCTGCATATGATTAATGAGGGAAATTATCTGCTTTCAAAAGGTGGGGGACGCGTCTCGCAAAGATAGAAACTGTCACGTCGTTAGGATCTATCGCGCCTCCGATACTTATAGCCCCTGTCGAATCCAACAGCAATATACGTCTACATTGCTCAAATTGACCGGCCACAAGAAAAAAAAAATACTAATTTTATTTGTTCAGGATTCGAAGTCAAGTTCAATGCAGAGGTCTGAGTGAATCTCCGATGAAGACTCTCCTCAGCTTGTCCGCATTCGTCTCCGTTCTACCGGCTAGAACCATTTGGCTAAGTTTAAGGAGTACCTCTCTGTCTGTCAAATATACTTTTATTCAGCAGTTCACCCTAATAGTTAGCCAACTAAGTTCATATTTCAACCCGAAGAACATACTAATATCGCTTTAGTGGGACCATAGTACGTAATATAATACATAACCGAACATTCATCAAAATGACTTCTCGATTGCTACTAAAATCTGAATTGAAATACGAGTATCAGCTGCTTAGTGAAGTGCCAGCGAGTTGACATGCTCCTTGGCTCAAGAAGCGCTTGCTTAATTTTCGTAATTTTCCTGCAGCCTGTGTTCTTGACCGAGCACACGACTGCAGCTGTTTCTTGAAACGCGGACAGGCACAAAAGCTCAATTTCGCGGACAGGTAAGTCGCATGATCGAGGCATGCGAGTTAGCTAAACATTACTCTTGGTGGAACAATTTTGTAGCCCTCGCCGCTTTCCTTAGACGATCAAAACTAATTAGAGTCTATTACCGTTTCTCCGGAGCCCATAGTTTCGGTTTTGATCGAAGTCTCCGCAGCGAAAGTTTGACATGAAAAGAACAAAAAACACCGGCAAAACAAAACTATGCTCGGCAAGTTTATGCGCACTGGCTAAACTTAACTGTCTCAGTTCAAATACCCATAAAATTGGGCATTCAACAAAACAATAATTGTTAAATTGAATGCGCCACCCATTCAGGCGGCCAGGCCGAGCCGACGCGACCTGGACTCAGCCGCCATGTTTGTTTGGTGGTGGCGCCCCCTATAGGTCGCTGGAGTCGCGAATAAACACGAACGGCTAATTTGATTTTTTGGATGTCAAATGTAGCAGTCATACCGCACTGCTCAAATTGCCCCCTCTAAATTGAAGACCGGTTGCTTATCGCTAGCAAACTAACTCCACACATACCATAATAAACTTATCATGATACACCTTTGAAATGCACCCAACAGACCTGAGGTCTTGTCACTGGTACTTAGAAACTTAGCATGTAGCCTAAACACATTATTTGTGCACTTAGTACTCTTCCAGATTTAATTGTACATATTTGTTAGATTGAATCTTGTGAGTAGCTTATGGTTTGATTTTATAAACCTGCTTACCTGCGCAATCGGTGTTTGTATTTTTTTTTTGTCCACATCCCTGCTTTTCATACTCCTGCACAACGCTGAACAAGTGTAACGAGCGTGATTTCTGGACCTGCATGTTTGTTTATAGGGCTGTCTGCACTTTTTTATGCTTCTTACAATTTAAACATTAAACTAGATTTATTTGGGGGTTGATTTGTTTGTTTGAGTATTCAGCATTTTTGTTTGTAGGAGTTGTTTATAGAGCCATTTAGATAATTCGAAGTATGATAAGTGCTGTTCTGTTAGCTTGTACATTAAAGTGATTAATTTTGTTTTACATATTTGACAATGTTTACTGTGTTTACTGCCTGCTACAGTTCTTGGTTCCCCTTGGAGGACGGTGAACTGGCAACGGAGTTTGTAAATACATGTTTGAAATACCGCAACTCATTTGAATGGTGTTCAATAAAAAATATATTTCAATGAACGTGCTGTTTCTGTTTTATTGCACTGGTAATTAATATCTCGCGAAGCGCGTTTGTTATGAAGTATAGCGCGTGCAGCTTGTCTCCTCGACCGGTGCTGCGCTGGCGCACAGCACCTGTCAAACAAACAAGCCGGAAAAAAAAAAAAAAAGAGAGACAGAGGAGGGCGCACGCCAACGACATTGGTGGCGCCATCTGGTGGTCTTCCAAGATATTTTTTAGTTTCACACCGCACGTATGTTTGCCTTTCTGCCACTAGCGCCTCGTGGCGCTAGTTTCTCCTTACCAAGGTGGAGGCTACAGCTGCACTCGGCTGATATCATCGTCATTATCACGATGGCATCAATGATGACATCATCGTCATGTGTATGTCATCACTGACGATGGCGATGACGTCGCGTGACCCCCATGAGGTCACGTGACCCTGGCGACGTTACGTGACCCTGGCGACGTCACGTGACCCCTGTGAGGTCACGAAGGTCACGTGACTTCACGGTTGCGCCAACGACGATGCCGCTCGGAGGGAGGAGTAGCACGCAGGATGATTAGGTGAGGAGAGAGGAGGAGTTTACAGTCCCCTCAGTACCCTTCCCTCCTCCTCCTCCTCCTCAAGAGCTGCACTCTAATTTGGTATTACAGGGGGTTGTAAGTGACTCATTTTTTAATACACAGTTCTACATACAGAAGAATGGGATTTTTATTGGTTCTTTGGTGGCACCCGTCTTGTGTGACATTAATTTCTCTGCGATGGACAAGTGCATGTTGGGGGCTCTTGATGGGATGAATGGGGTCGAGATTTTCTGCTATGTGGATGATTTTTTGGTTATGTTGGGGGAATGTATAGTGAATTGTATGGAGCATGCTGTGGCAGAAATTGTTAATTTGTTTAGATCACTGCCAGACAGGCTAAACTTCACTTGGGAAATGTCTAATGATGGCAGTATTCACTTTCTGGACTTGCAGCTCTATTTTACTAAGGATCGTTTGTGCTGGAGCTATAAACCACGGACTAAGAAAGGCCTCCTTTCTTTCAGCAGTTCCCACTCAAAGCTTGTTAAAGGTGGGATTGCATCCACCTACCTTCACGCAGCGATTACAAAAAGCTGCCAGCATAGACTGCTAATCAGCTTTGATCATCATGTTATACGCTTGAAGAGTGCCGGTTACCCAAAGTGCTCAGTGTCGAATGTGTGTGAAAGCCTCCTACAGAAAATTAAACAAGAGGGCAGCGACCAATTTCGTGAAAAAACATATGAAATGCCAGCGCAAGTGGTTTCATATTTGCACCAAGGTGTCCCACAATTTAAAAAAGGAGGCTGCTAGGCACAGGGTTAATGTGGTGTTTTCATCCCCAGGCAAACTTTCAAAGATATGCTCTGTGATGTCAAAACAAAAGTTTCGTGCTCAAAAGACCATGTAACAAGATACACCAAATGCATGACTAAGGTTGTATATGAGATTCCTTTTAGTTGTGGCAAAGTTTACATCGGTAAAACGGGCCAATGTTTTAACGAAAGAGAGGGAACACAAGCTTGCCGCACACAGTAATTTGGGTGGGCATCTTGCGGAGCACTGCAAACGATGTGCATGTGAACCAATGTAAAACATACAAGGTTTCTTTAGAGAGTGAATTAGAAGATGGAAAAAAAATAATCAAAGCTTTTTGTATAAAAAAAGCAGCTGGCAAATGCATAAGCATGCCATTCCTTCATCTGCTGAACAAAGAAGTTGTGTTTCTTGATAGCTGCATGTGATTAGTGAAAGGAACTTTTTATCTTGTTGCTTAGAGGTGTTTATTGGTAATGGTGATCGACAGTTTGACAATGTTTGGTATTATATTAAATCAGGAGGAAGTTGGCACTTTTCCTTGTCATACGTGTGTCTTTTTTCGTCCTGTTTCAGTTCGTGCCTGTTAGCCTTTTAATTCAGCTGGTGGCTTCCCAAGCAGCACATATTTGGCCAATCATTGGCTAATGGCTAGCAATGTTCCTTTGGCTATTGGCCAAATTCCGTGCTGCTTGGGTTGGTGGTTGGAATGTCTTGAGCACTGGTCTTGTGTCGCACTTCTCGCATCTCTGAGGTCACATTGTATTTTTGTCTAGCAGTACTCTGGCGCCTCTTTGTCTTTCTTGTTACTGTTGTTCCTGCACTTGTTTTGCTTGTTTTTGTGATATGGTGTTTCTATCGGTTTTGTTGCCTTTTTTAATGCACTGTATCTGCATCACTGCCTTTCTGACAAAGTGTATATATCTGTTTTTCTCCTTTTTCTGATATGGTGTTTGTCTGTTTTGCACCCTTTCGTGATACAGTGTTTTTCTGTTTTCTGCTCCCCGCTTGCACCACAGAGGTGCTCCCCCTGGTGGAGTTCCAGTTGGCAGACGGCATTTCGGACAAGGAGGCCCTCGAACTGCTCGAGGGCGGAGGAGGGGGGAGGGTGCAGCAGAGAGACGGGAGGGACTCGCACCATCGGGAGATCATCAATGGTACGCTCCGGTGCCAATCCACAGCGGCGTTTTTGTTACTTTTTTAATGCAGAATCTGTTCTATCAGCCGAATTTCATGTAACAACCTTCATAAAGAGCCGTCACAAAGAACCATCACGAAAGATTGTCACGAAGGACTGTTGCACCAATCTTTCTGCTAAATTTACCAGGGAAATAGGAGTCATTGACCATGTCATATGATGTTATTTTCCTCAATCGACATCATGTTACCTCAAGACGTGATGTTGATTTCCCCTCTACATTTAGCGGAAAAGTCGGTGTCATGTGATGCGACTACATCCTGACCTAAAGCCGTGCGACATCACTTCTGCGATGCAGCAATTTCCGCTCAACCCATTCTCTGCTTTCCGGTCTTTGTCAGCTTGTTCAAGCTCTGATAAGTATCCTTTTTTCCTACCTCCGAAAACGTCGGTACTACCGACGGCTTTGGAAAACCAACTAATGTGGTGTTGGGTTGTTTTGTTTTTTTTTACAGCGGTTGTTATTATTGGCAAGGTTCCCCAGCAGATCTTGTGCCTGTTCCGTGTATGTAGTGGCCCGCTAAATCTAGCTGAGAGCCATTTATATTTTTGTCCGGTTCCTGCCATTTTCAGTTATTGTTTGGGGGATCACATTATGAAGGAGAAAATGAAATGATACACCTTGTTTTGGTTTGGTTTCAAAGCTCTTTTGTAACAGTGTGGAATATCTGCGATGCAACTCCATAATGTGCCCTGAATTAAAGGGTAGGCTTTGGTCAGCTTGCCAAACCAGCTATAATAAGAGATCTTACGGTGCCCCCTCACGCATAAGACCAGTCAGACATGACTGATCTTAGCTCTGATGCATTTCTTTTTTACACTGAATTGGCAGACAGTACTGCATATGCTTGAAATTGCCATAAGGTGCCAGGTGATCACTCTACAGTTTTACAGCGGAGCTGTTAAGGGCTAGTTTCCCCAGTACCGTGTCCGCAGGCAAACAAATGTCAACACAAAACTCTGGACAGCTACTGTCATCTATGAGCAATGGCAGCAGCCAGACAACCGTCTCGCCGGTTGTCTGGTTGTTGCCGTCGCTCATAGATGACGGCAACCTCTCCAGCCTTTCCACTCTGGTTTTCACCAGAGTGGAAACCATTTCCAGTCGTTTTTGAAGTCGTCCTTGAGGACCTCAAGGGCGACCTCAAGAAGTCTTCCTTGATGTCGTCTGAGAGGTTGGCCTCGGGGTCGTCCTAGAAGTCATCCTTGAGGTCGTCTTCGAGGCCATCCTAGAAGTCGTCCTCGAGGTCATCCTCGAGGTCGTCCTAGAAGTCGTCCTAGAAGTTGTCCTCAAAATTGTCCTAGACGTCGACCTCGAGGTTGTCCTGGAGGTCGTCCTACGCATCGTCCCTGAGGTCGTCCTAGAAGTCGTCCTTGAGGTCATCCTAGACGTTGTCCGTGAGATCATCTTAGACGTCGTCCTCTAGGTAGCGTCCTTGAGGTCGTCCAAGAACGCGTCCTTGAGGTCATCCTAGACGTCGTCCTCTAGGCATTGTCCTAGATGTCGTAAAGATAGCAGCTTCGCTGGTGCTCCGTCTTCATGTGAAGTGGAAGGGGTCTACATTTTTTTGCTGGGTTGTGGTGGAACAAATGGAATGTAATCATAAAATGTCTAGTACAGGCTGCTCCAAAAAAAAATTTACAAGGTTTTCTTTACTGCAAAAATAAACTGTGCATTGCCGAACACCCATTCTCTGGCCAAATGTAGCCCTAAAAGTCCGAACCAAACGCCAAAGTTTCAAAACTAACCGTTATCTAATTAAAAATTAAGCAATTTTTTTTTTTTAATTTTTGTTGGGAAAATGGTAGGCAGCAGAGACCTTGAATACACAGAGGTGAATGCTGCCAGTTATTGGGAATGGTGTGTTCCATTTTCCCGTTTTGATTTTCAGAAAACCGTTTATTATATCTTCTGAATGAGATAATGATTACCATATTTACTCGCGTAATGAACGCACCCTCCACAACGGCCATCAATATTTTAACTTTTTTTTTCTCACGTAATGAACACACTTTTAACAATCGGCTTCGCAAGTCTTGAACTGCGTCCAACTAGTGCTACTAAATAAGCCACGCTTCAGAGTAAGGACACTTGGTTGGCCATATTGTGTCTTAAAATCATGGTTGCCACTTATCTGAAGCTTTATCTGAAATCAGAGGAAACGCCTTTCTGCCCTCCACAAATGTTTAAACAGTTCGCGACAGAGCAAAGCAATATTACATGACCTTCTTAACACCGAATCTAACACTGAGGAAGTCGCACATTTGAATTATGACGATCGGCAGTTGTGTCTGCTCTGCATACAAGCCACAATGGCGGCGCCCACAACAATGTAGGGGAACGGAGTGCCGATACTCTAAGCGCAGCTTATTTAGTTGTTCTATGTCCAACTTAGCTAGCCGGCTAGCCACCAAGCCCGCCAATTTTCTTTTGCCGCCAAGCGGCCAGGCCAAGTCAAGCCAAGCCAAGCCAAGTCGCTCTTGTAATGGCTTCAGTTGCTTAGTTCCGAAAGTGATCAACCGTGAAACCGAGCGTCGCACATGCCTAGCGAAGCTGGGGTCGAGGAATTGCCCAGCCCTGGACGTACTTCATACATCGGATGCATTGATGTCAACACGCCGCCATCTGTGATCCACTTTCGAACAGTGATATCGTGAAGGTGGTGAGGCCTACAAACGGTCGCATCGTTCTCCGTGCTGAGTTGTAAGGCACTTTTTCTTTGGCAAAAGGCACGCAGAAAGCACCCTAAAAAAGGTTTGAAATTTATAGAGCATGATGACTGTGGCACGCCTACGACCAGCCATGGGCGCGCCTCCGTCAGTGGAGACATGCCACGTACAGTACCTTGCCATGTGATATTGGCACCTAAAATGACATTTGGGCAGGGTGTGTAAATGCAAAAATCGTACCCTGCGTAATGAACGCCCCCCCCAAATATGGGTAAATTTTTCTGGAAAAAAAGTGTGTTCATTATGCAAGTAAATATGGTAGTTCTGAAACTTTGGCACCTGGCTCAGACCACTAGGGCTACGTTTGGACGGCGAATGAGCATTTGGCGATGCATGGTTTACTTTGCCAATGAAAAAAAATGGATGGCAAATTGCAAGGCAATGGACCTTTTCCGAGAAGCGTTGTGCGCACGCGCGAGCGCCCGATGCCAAGTGGTGGAAGTCTGCACAAAAAATCGAGGAAATTCTAAATGAGGCTGTAGATCGACGAGTAGAACACGTAATTGTAGCATATATATAATTGTGTTACACAAAAAAAGAAAGTGGACAGAAAGAAAATCACGACGTTTGGGTGGACGCCGCGGATTCCTCTTTTTAAAGTCGCGTTGGGCACGCGACCCGAGGTAGAGGGGACGCGACGCAGCTCAGAGAGCGAAGAAACTGGTAGCGTAGCTCCCATTATCGATTGGTAGTGCAGGTAGGTCACTTCCTCGATTTTTAGTTTGTGCAGCCACCGCCTGGTGCCTTCGGTATTTGGAAAAGGTCCATTCTGTTGGATACATGAAACGTTTAGCGAGAGCTGCACCCCGTGGCTGCACTGATATGAAATCGGTGTCATCTAATGTAAATTTCCCGTTGAATTTGGTGGGGAAGCTGAATTTGTGTATAGCTCACGTGACATCAATTTTTGCGCTAGCGGGGAAACTTAATCAGGCTTCACAAAATCCGAACAACTAGCCAAAGAATTAACTTTATTTTTATGGGTCGCACTGTAGTTTTAGTTAGGCACTTTGCTGTTGGTCAGTAAGTGTTTCTTTACAGCATTGAGCATGTTCAGCATGAATTCTCCCCTTTTTCTTTTCGTCTTGGCAGGATATGACTCCATGCGCATTGATCATTCTTCGAAGGACGACGATCCCTTTGCGTTCCAGCTCTCAAATATGGAGGTACAGTATAGGCCACTTACAACGTAACCGCTTATACTGCAGGACCGGGTATAACGCAGCTTTTTTAAACCACCGGTTCGCCTTCCATAGAAGTCCATGTAATTACATACCACTTAAAATGCAGGCGCGCGAAGGGAAATACCGGTTATAGTGCGGTTTTCGGAACATCCCGGCAACCACGCCGACTGACCGACGCAGAGAGCACGCTTCCCTGTGCGACACTAGATAACGGCGCGAGCCGCAAGCGGCACTCGCGGGGCACGGAGGTTGCTCGAAGAAGCGGGGAGAAGCGACGAGAGAGGCTTCAGTTGCCATAACGACGGAGGGACGCACGCACGTGTAGTTCACGTGCGTGCGTCCCTCCGCCGCGTTGGAAACAACCGCAACGACAAACCAATCGCAGGTCGAGGAGAACTGTTCACGCGCGTTGCATGCTGGTCACGGGCCGGCCGGCCAGCTGCTTCTATCCGCAAACATGGCATCGGTTTTGATCGTCGACGTAGACGGCGTGGTAGAAGCTCATCGTTCCGCGTAAAAGCGCTATCCTTGACTGTGAATTTTCGTTGTGTGTCGCTATGATAACCCAGCACGTACTAGAAGGGAAGATCCACCTACTCGTGCGGCGATGTTGTGGTGGCACTCTCCAGACGGCAGAAACGCCCATGTCGTCGTGTTTGTTTACTTCGACTACAGTGGTGCTTTCTAAACATTTGTTTTCGATCATCGCCCGGATTTTTTATTCGGGGTATTTCATGCCTGTGCTCAAGTTGAAGGTATTACTGGCGCATACCGTATAAAGGATGCGAATTTTCACGCGTTTTCATTGCCGGAGATAAGTGATTAGGGTTAGCAATCCTGAACGCTCGCAACGTCCGTCCGCAACCCGCGACGCCGTTAAAAGGCTGCGCCAGGCAAAAGTCGCTCATTTCTTTCAAAATGTGTAACACACTTGAGAGAGAAGTGTACTAGTCTGGTGAAATAAAGACTTTCCTCAAATTAAGCTTTATTTTTCATCTAACATAAAATAAATTCTTGTGCAAAGGTAAGTTGTCTGATGGCATGCACTTTGGCTTGAAAAATTTATGTTTTCGTTATAGCACGGTACCGCTTATAGTGCGGATTTTCGCGACTCCCGCGACATACGTTATATGCGGTCTACACTGTAAATCTATATAATAATACTCCATTCTGCCACTCTATTTTTAATCTGAGTGCTAGAATCTCGTGTTTTTACATGTAACCAAAGATTATGTAATGCTAGAACTGGAGTTTTGCTCCAAACACTATTCATGCAAAAATGAAAAGGTCCACAAAAGTATTTTTGCACTTTGGCTAACTGCTAGTACTTAGAATAAACTTTTAACAATCATAAACATTTACAATCATTACAATAAAAGCATGGAATACGCATCAGTTTTTGTTAGCATGCGCTAGTTTTCACAAAATTGTTTTTTCTCATCGTCTACACATTCCCTCCAACTGGACGGTTTGTCCTCTTAAAAAAACACTTGAATGAAAAAAAAATATATTCTTCAAATATCTAAGTGGGACACCTATCCTTAAGAAAAAGGTACTTAAAAGAAATATTTATGTCGCAATACGCAATTTAGGTGGAGGTCACGACCAGCTCTAGGTTCCCCCAACCCCCCCACCCCCCCCCCGCCCCCCACAGAGCAGTGGGTCCGCCCATTACTACTGGATTGGCTTGGCTGCTCAACTGAACTTGTATGCACGTTTAGTCTCTGCCTGTCACCCCCTAGTCCTGCGAGCAGATGCGCAGCAGAGTACGGCATCATCTGCTATTAGAACACGCACTACAAGCCAGCTATTAGAACACGCAACAAATCAAGCAAAATAGTTTGCGTGGAATACTAAGCTTATGCCAGTCCCGCTATGAAAAAAAGCACCCACAATGCACTTCCAAACGTTTGTACTCTCAACAGTTGTTTGCTGCAAACTGCGTTAGTTGAAATCTTCCTCTGTACATCTCAGTGAATGCGTAACAACTCGAACTGATAAAGGTGGACCAACTCAACGAATTACGTCCATCCTTATGCGTTTGTCTTATACGTGCATCTTTGCGACGATTGGATAAACCACTTGTCGCGAACACCAGCAACGTTATCGTTTGAAACCGAAGCGAAAAAAGCGATCTCCTGATATTTTTGATATCAAGAATGACTTTGTCTATATCGTTTGTTTCTTAAACATAAAAGTATATACCCAATAAAAGACTACCATGGCATGGAGAAACCATTTTCCATCATACATTCCACAAGTGAATCATCTCTCCAACCAACGAGATCTGAGAAACGGAGTGTAGCTAGCTATGCTTTTTTTTTGCTAATGGGCGGGGCCTTGAGCCGGGCTACCTCCATCTAAATTGCATCTAGTGGCATAAATATTGCACTAACAATTTTATTTTTTCATTAAATTATTTTTTATATAGTATGTGTCCCACCTAAACCTTTTAAAATATTTGTTTATTTTTTTTATTTTAGTGTTGTTTTTTTAGGGGACACACACATTCTGCATAACCTTTTTTTTTTTTAACTTGTTCCTGGCCATGCCCATAGGCCATCGATTTTTGTTGCGCTCTCCACGATATTGTGGAAGCCGAAGAAATATAGTTTTGGTTTCAACGTAGGTTTGAGCTTTATCACAGCTAATGGGCTGTCAAAAATAGTCCTGGGAACGGTGGCATTATTTACATAATAAAGGCGGCATTTCTTACATAATTCAACTGTATTGTGGCATATTTTTTAGGCCTCAAGAGGTCCAGAGACATTTTAAATTATGATAAAGGCATGTCTTAACTGATGGTTGTCGATCAGCATCACTATTATTTCCAATGCTGTCTTGAACTATCATGCACGTTTTATGTTCCCTACAAGGTGAACAAAAATGTTAAGTATAAAGGAACTGCGATCAAGACTATGATAAAACCAAGTTGCTACACAAACAGAGCATTGTGCTGGGGATGTGAGATGTACTATTTGTGTCTCACCAATATAAGCATTCCTTCGTTGGAAAGCACATGTGTTGCAGACGCTAACTCTCTGACAAACCACAAATAGGCAACGCCAGTTAGAGTACATTAACTTTCAGAAGTAATAGTCATGGGTGTGGGGCACATTTTGTATACCTATTCTGATCTTTTTTTTTATTTGTCGTTTAATTTGACATAGCTGTAGACGTTTCGCTATGGTATATATACCTCCCCCATGGACGTTGTATTTTCAAGATATGAAATTTTAATATCTTTTTCCACATTATACAAACCTCCATCTCTTTTGAAAGAACAACTGATTGGCATCATTTTGAGGTGTCATATTGCTTTATACGCAAATTGGTTAGAAAAATAAAAGCATTTGCAGGGATCCTTTGAAAATACTACTTTTCCTGTGGTCAGGAAAGAGTGAAGCCACTTGGATAGGCCAAGTGTCGCAAAATGCATTCTCATCAGAAAAAGAAACAAATTAATGCAATAATTAGGCCGCAAGACACAATTTATTATGCAAACCCTAAATGGAGTGTCTGGGCTAATCTTCCTCTCTTATCTTTTCTTTGTCGCGCCTTTCCACAGTGTGCAGAGGAGAGGAAGAGGAGGGGGTACCCATTGAGCATAGCTCTCCTTCACGTTCCTTCCAACCAATGGGAGACTTGACAAAGTTACTCCTATTTTGACGTCACTCTGACATTGGCCTCGGAATAAAAGTTGTTTTTGAGCTGGCGAGCGGATGAAATCGCTCCAAACTGCAAATCTGTCTTACGGCCTAAATATTGCGTAAAAGGCGGGCTTGCACATGCTTCCCGAGTGGTGAAGAGGTGCTCAGTTAGCGCTGATACAGCACTGATATGGCTCTAGCTCAGTGCTGAGTTGCACTCTGCTGTATGTGTGAACAAGCCTTAAAGGGGTGCCATAGTTAATTTCGAGGTCACTTTTTTATTTTGAAAACTTGACCTATGTGCCGTAAAAATCCCAGAGAATCCAAAATTAGAATCGTCCCTCGCCTTTTTCCTTAAAAATGCAACCCCAAAAAATTGCAACTCGCCTCTTTTTCTGAGAAAGATCTGAGATAGATAATGTTTGGTTGCGTATTTAGTAGGAAAAATGGCCACGCATTATTTTAATTTTTAGTCATCTCGGAGGTTTGGGGCGTTTAAGGTGAGTTTGCGCCATCAAAAGACAATCTCAAAATCTACTTTAGTGCCCCTCAAAGCTATATTTTCCTTTGGGAGGGCGTGGGAAGTGGGGAAGTTGGAGTAGAGTACATCCTCTGAGACATGTGATCCAGGGAGTTGAAAAAAAAAATATATTTTTAAGTGTGCAGTGTCCCGAAAACCGAGCCAAATTTAATGTTTACTTTTATACGGCGTAATGTCGGTCTGCCTTTGAGGTGCGGCGACGCCGGTTTACGCCGTAGGCAAGAAATATAGCCAGTATAGTACGACCACTAGCCCGGGTTCTTCGACTGCGTCACACCATAGTGTTACACAAGGAAACGGTGCCACGATGCTCGTCCAGATCAAAACGGGCAAGGGTGGGGATTGAGCCCAGGATCTCTGGGGTCTGAAGCGTAAGCTTTTGCTCCAAGCCGGTGCACGCTAACACGCTCGGCCACCAATCCTCGTGCAGTGTCGCTTTGTCCCTCAAGGTCCCTCTGTGCATTTCAGGAAAGCGAAGACGGCTCGGTGATGCCGGACGCATCCCCCGTCATCCTGAACCGCGACGCGCTGGCGTTGCTGAGTCCCCGCGACGTGGTCGTCTGCCCCCGGTCTCCACCCCTGCGATGGCGCTTCTACCGCAACGTGGTGCCAGACGTCGTTGTGGTGCAGTGTGATGGCTGTGCCAAGGTCGGTGTGAAACCCTCATTATGTATTCGCACCACGGCTCTTTCTCTCCAGAGAAGACCGAGCATATCGTAGATCTGCTGGGAGGAAAGGCCACGAGAAGCGGGAGCTGGTGCGCCAAATTCGAGCGAGCATTCGTACGACGCAATGGCACAAAGTTGAGTCAGCAGAGTCCTTTTGTGAACGTGGTCGCAACCCTCGGGGGCTCGTCGAACAAATGGCGGGGAAAGAGAGAGAAATTATACCCAAATCGGTTGCTGTTGCTACACCGATTCTCGACGAAATGCGTTAGCATTTAGCGCAGCGGTTCCGACTCAGCAAAGGATGGGAATTCCAAGTTTGCAACGGTGCGCATACTGTTGCCTTTGGAGAGCCAATCTGTCCTCCCGGGCGTCGGCGGTTTCGGATGCGGCCACCACACCTTCCCTCTATCGCCGCCTATTGTCCGCGTGCTGTTTTCTTCGAAGGGTCGATCTTGCTTCTGGGTGTCATCGGTTTCGCGCAAAAGGTGTCGTCACTGCACCTCGGTTTTACGTTGTCGCGTACGTCGTGCCGCCGCCACGACTGCTCGATTCCCTCCTCTTCCACTTCTGCGGCGTGTCATTGGAAGCGTGCCAGAAGATTGATTCCTTGTGTAAGAGGGAAAGGGGATGTAAGGAGCGAATGATTAAGTGAAAGAGCACGGCGGGAACTGCACAACTGCCTCATAAAACCTCTCCAGTTCGGTCCAAACAACGACCGTCGAAACGAAAGACGGCTGCACACGCCAGGGCAATAAATGCCAATGCATTTAAAAGGAAGTAAAGGTACCCCACAGCTTGGTGCTGCTGGCCATGATCCTTCCCTGGGAGCAGTTGCTTTGACGGAACGACGGATATTCTGTAGGCTGGTCGCAGATCCTCCACAGCTCCCCGCAGGCTGGGGGATCAGTCTACATCCGCGACACGGTGCACATCACCTCAGAACTCAACGACTTTAGTCGACCCCTCAGAGGACATTTTTGTCGTGCGAATAGACCGTTACCCGCATCGCGACGTTTCACTGTTGTTGTTAATGCGGAACGCGTAATGCGGCCGGCACTGAACTGCTTCCGGTTCTCACTCGTGACGGAACCAGAAAATATGAGTGTGCAAGTTACTCCCGCAGGTCACATCACGGGATCAAACATAGACACCAGCAATGCAGCCCACTCCTAGCATGCTCTAAACGTCCCAGCTCTCGAAGCTTTCAGCATTCCCGCCAAGTGGCACTGTTCATGAGGAGGCCGCAGTGCGGCACGAGTCCTTCATCTCCTCCGTTCCGTTGTGTCTCGCTCTAAAGTTATGGTACTGGAGTTGTCGCGGCGCCAGCAATGGCAGCGCCGCATTCGCATCTAGCTTGACACTGCATCACGTTCTGATTTACCACTGCCTTTGACACGATAGTGGGGAAAGAGACAATGTTTTGTGTTTATGGTGTGCCTCCTTTGAAGCTTCACCCGTTTTTGTCACCAGGTGTTTCACAGCGACGACTATGAGATGCAGACGCTCCAGACGGGGTCCTGTCCCTTCTGCAGGACCAAGCTGGACGAGATCTCCTAGCAGTCCTGGGCAGGCCCCGTCATGCTGTCAGGGTATGTCTTGCGACTGCAAGCTCTTGCCGCCGTTCCTCTTTTACCGCGAGGGAACCTATCCATAGTGGAATCGGACATGGTGAATAGTATAAGGTGGTTTCATGCGATGGGTACTTCTGGTTTGAAATCTCGCCGGATGCCAGCCAGGTTGATGAACTTTTATTTGTTCTTTTTTTTTTAGGGGTGAAGCTCCTTAAGGTCTAGCCTTGTCCGTCCGTCCGTCCGTCCGGCGTCTAGGGTGACCACCCGTCCCGCGACTCGCGGGACTGTCCTGCATTGAGGGCTCGTGTCCCGCGTCCCGCAAGAAGTAACAAAATCTTTAAAATGTCCCGCGTTTCACATTTTCGTAGCATTCGAGCACGCAAATTATGGCGCTTCCGAAGAACGGGCCACGGGGTTGCGCAGAGGTCGCTGATAAACGTGTGAATCTTGGTGGTATGTCATTTTCCGTTGTTCTTGCAGGACTAGGATGCGCACGCGCCGTTGTGCCTCTAACCTTGATGGCAAATTGTTGCGAGCGAAAATTGCTCTCCAAAAGTTGAAAAATAAACTATTGTAATTATTTGCAAATCATAATGTGTCATGCGAAAGGGTTGTTGTGGAATGCTTTTCTAAGTGAAAACGGCCACACAAGGCGAAAAACCTGCAACTCACATTGGTCATAAAAACAACAACATAAGGTTCTAATTTTGTGCAAGAGCATGTTAGTATAAGAGTATATATTAGTATATATATGGTTATTACGACAGAAAACAAGTCAAAAAAGATTTACTGTTTCTTATTTCCCTTTCATGCCTTGGGGTCTGCTGCAGTCGATATATTTGTTTTCAACTTAGGCACTCATAATAAAATATTTACCAATACAATTACACAAAAATATATTACTGTGATTGAAAATTATTTTAGCTTAATTGCCACCACACAATTTTCAGGTGTATAATATGCTTTCGGACTGCACAGGATATCAGGGTGTGCGGGATGGTTAATTTTTTTAATACTTAACTCTTGAGTCGTAAAAATACCGTCCTCCTCTTACCCCTTACCCCCCGCCCCCTCCCTCTCCAGTCAGGGTGTCCCGCATTTCGCCTGCAAGAAGGTGGTCACCCTACCGGCGTCCGTGCTCACGTAAAAAGAAAAAATGTTTGCGCAGTCGACAGGATTCGAACCTGTGTGGGGAGACCCCAATGGATTTCTAGTTCATCGCCTTAACCGCTCATTCACGACTGCGGGACGAGTAGGGGGCTTTGAGATGTGGTAGTAACCCAAGAGCTGGGGTTTCTGTCATGGATGAAATGTTGCATGTATCCACTCAACGTCTATACAGGAGAGGGCGCTGCAGTCAAATGCGTATATAATCGCATTAAGCTTTGCATGCATTGGCTCAACATTTATAGACGAGAGGGCAGTGCAGTCAAATGCTCAAATGCGTATATAACCACGTTCCATACCACAGATTCTCTTTCTGACATGGACCGTTGACTTAAGCGGTGGAGATGCATTCCCACAGCTTCTAGCGGATCCAAGCTGATCCGCTAGAAGAACCACTGGCTGTTCATTTCACCGACCATAAAGCAGTAATAATGAAGTCGAAACGCAACCCGGAACTCAGCACTACCTATGAGCAATAAAAAAAATCAGCACCATCAGCACCACTAGAGCTTCACCCCAATCAACATCATTCACCACGTGGAGATGCTGTCATTTTTTTTTATACCCTTGTGTCCTAAGCATTACAGAAAGGGCAGGGATTTGGGAATACGAACAGAATTAAAAGTTGCTACACAGGCTCGAAACAAGAATATTAATTATCTAGTGCAGCCCTAAAACTACTAAAATCACTGATTGTTGCTATAGAAGAGAGAAGACAATTCAATCACAAGAGGTTTTGGGGATGAAAGAACCATAAAAGTAGGTAGCGTAATTAGTGGGTACGCCAACTTTGCAGTTACAATCGAGGCGCGAAGAAATGTAGATGGGATCATTAATTAGTTGAGCTGTTAGACTCGAATAAAAGTTGATTTTATGAAATAGATGTAGACAAGATATTATACGTTGGATGGAATGGAGGGGCAACATTTCACCGATGCAACACTTGACATACGACGTGATAGTACGAGAGAATGAAACATGCTGACTGGCCTTGAACGACTAGGGATTGTCCGGTCAAATTTTGTATTCGAGAAAACAATTGAATATTATTGTTATTGCCTCGAGACGCATCGTATGTGCAATGTCTGAATTTTATATGGCCCTCTGCGTGAGTAATTAAATTTATACTGCTCCAATCGGATTCTAGCGTAAACGCGGTTTTCGTTGGCAACATTGGAGCTCTGACGTCACAAAACACAAAGCGAGCATTTTTGTCTCGTCGATTGCCTGTGAGTGAACGCCTCAGCGTGCTTCGTTTTTGTTGTTGTGCTTGACTTGTTTCGTGGTTGGGTGAGATTTTTGTTGTGCGGTTGGGTGCCACAACCACAGGGCAGCACATGCGAGCCAAGACATGACGTTCCACACTTTTCCGCGAGACGTGCAATGACGAGCAAAGTGGATCGTCGTCGTGCGTAGGGACTGGGTTCCCGTCAAGATCGAGATCTCGCTTATGCAGCAATCATTTCACAGAAGAGAGCTACGAGCTGAGCTCTAAGTGGACAGAAGCGTTGTAAGCTGAGGTGTGATGCTGTGCCAACGATAATGAACTACGTCCACCCACTCCTCGCCCAAATCGGGCCAGTCAATTTACCGTATTTACTCGATTCTAAGCCGGCATCGATTCTAGGCCGACCCCGCAAAAACAACAGGGCCGAAAAAAAAAAAAAAAATTCTCGATTCTAGACTGATTAAAAAGTATAGGAAAAACACCATAAATTAAACACAACGGAATTTATCTGCAATGTACAGCACTATTTCGGTCACTAATCCGACGGCATGCTCACGGTTAATGTCCGCATTTTTCCTGATCATTCGTCGTCCTCACTCGTATCTTTGTCACTGTCCACTTCCCACAACGCGTGGTCATCCGTATCGTCCAGGGCATTCGAGATGCAACACTTTCGGAACGACTTTACTATCAGTTCCGCCGGGATGTCGTCCCATGCGGCCGCGATCCAGCTCGTGGTGCCTTCCCTTCCGCGGTCCTGAGAACGCCATTCTTGTTGCCGCACATGCAAAGAGCTGACCACACTGCTTTCTCCAGCGACGCACATTTTTTTCGTCCATGCCGAAGTCGCGCTGGGCTTGCAGGTTGGACGAGTGTTCAGCAGCCAAGACAACTTTCCTCTTAAAAGCCGCGGAGTAGTGGCGTCGACTGGTCGATGCCATAGCGTCGAGTAGAGACGAACGTTCCGTGCGTTCCGTGGTACACAGCGTATCTTCCCGAAGCGATGTAGACAAGATGGCGTCCCGCGGTCATGGCGGAGCCGGATCCTCGTATCTAGGCCGACCCCCGAGTTTCGGATTTAATTTTTTTGGAAAAACTATTGGCCTAGATTCAAGTAAATACGGTAGGTCTGTTCGATTCGCCTGAACTGGCTGAACTAGTTCAGCATTGCAGGAACTGGTGCATTCGATTGAACCGGAAGTTGCACGACCGCTGCACTGGCGCGTTCTATTCATCCCAGTTCTGAATGAGTTCAGACGCAGTTCCTCAAAATCTTGCACCGGTGTTCGGCTCCGTACTCAGTTCAGCGTCCGTGCAGAAGCAGACGACAAGAAAAGACGGCGATAGCAGACTACACTCCTCGTCCGCCTCTGCTCGCGGTGCCATTTTTCGCAGCTCTTGCTGAAATGTCTGCCATGTTTAACAATAACGCCGATACGGAGGTTGCATTTCCTCTCATTTATGATAATAACATAACCGCGGTGGATGCGGAATTGAGATCATAACCGGGGGTAGGAATTTGCTTGATTATGATATTCTGAAAGCGTTTTGGGCTATGTTGGAGGGAGACTTGGAAGAGGGAAGTGACGTCAACGACACAGCAAACGCAGATTGGGTGTTGATTTTGTTTTCTTCTGTCAACATCCAATCTGCGTTTGCTGTGTCGTTGACGTCACTTCCCTCTTCCTAGTCTCCTGGGAGTCCAAAAAGTGCAACATAGCACCCCTGCTCGTGTAGGTTTGGCTCCCTGTGGTGAGTGTTGAAATATTGGCTCACGTAAATTGTTTCTTTTTGATGCTATGCGGAGATCCACAGTGTTGATATTCTTACTTACAGACACAGGAAAGGTATTGCCCTCTTGATAGTCCCCGCCTTAAGTTGCTTTTGGATGCATATTGACGACTCCGATACATTGCAGAGGTCTGGGATTTAGTGCATTGACACTCGCATGTCCCCGTAGCTGATCATAATACTGCATGCTTTGTCCGCTGGTATCTGTGGACGCCCACTAACGGGCCTGGGAAAAACGCCGAGAATCAAAATTTTTGCTGATTCTCTCTTCGACTTGACGCCGAAGTTACGGTCGTTAATTGTCTTGGCCAAGACGCCCTTTTCGAGGTGACCGGTATACCGACCGCGCGCTGCCGCCAACGACTCCCGACGTAAAATCATCCTGATGCCGCCAACCTATCGTCGAAATGCAAAGATTCTCTTTGAGGGGTTTTTGCCGCTACCAGAACTTCCTGGCCGAATCGAACAGACCTTGATTATGCAGCGAAACCGAAACCAACAGCTAGGCTATTTCGAAATGATACCAGAACTTGTATTTAGCACGCGTGCAGCCCGATATCTGTTTGACCCGCGTGTGAAAATGGAGCGTGACTACGATTCACCAAGCTCGTCCAAGTCAAGTGACGACATGCATTTGAACGGTTTGCCGTTTGCCTTCGGCCCGCGGACGTCGCCTCTGAGGGAACGACCCGCAGCCTCGTCACCGATCCAGTGGATCCGCCGAAATATGTGCCCAGATGCCGCTTCGTGTACCTAGCTGTGCCACTTCAGAGGCGAAATCTGCATCCTTTGCTTTGCCAGCGCCCCTAGTTCGATCGGCGTCCGTCGCAGTTGTGTTTGCGCGAAACAGCATACGTTTGGTCGAAGCTTATGGCTGTCTGCGAGTAATATCCTACTTAAAGGCGGGACTTTTTCTGCACGTGCTTGGGAACTGCATTAAAAGAACCGTATTTCAGTAGGGTACTGCCTAGGAGACTATATAATTCGAAACAAAATACAAGACACCCGTCGACCAACGCTTGTTACCCCCACCATCCGACAAACCTTTGCGTTTTGTGAAGTCACGCAGCACCTACAGATGTCCGCCATTGACACTGGCGAAATTCGGGGTGCAGTTTCGTACATAGGCTCATGAAAGGTTTAATTATTAACGGGAGATCATATACCAAAATAAAAATGACGTTTGTCTATATGAAGGCTCCCTCAATGTAACGAGCGCAACAAGTTAAGTACTTCCGGTTTCGACCGGACAACCCCTTTCAGGAGCTGAAATAAAAATTTACATACAGGATCCCAGACTGAGCATGCATGTTCGAGTTTACTTTGTGTTAAAGTTCTATAAAGCAATAATTTTAAAGAAGATGGGGTCAAAGAGAAATTATGTTTTATGTATCCAAGCATGCGATTGTCTATACACGAAGGCACTGTTTTTCAGTTCGCTCAAGTTCTTTAGGGTCGCCATTGGCCGCGCCAACCAAAGGAGTCTGGAGCATAAAAGAGCGTCGGCTGGCACACACACAGGTCTTTATTTGTACTTAAAAACGAGCCAGCAATGCGGAGAGCAAGTCGTCTGCTTCTTTGCGCAGGGGTTGCAGTGACGTCAGAATAACATTGAGTTCCGATTGTGTTTTATTGGAAGGATAGTGGGTAGACCTCAATTCTAGATGCCTTGACCATTTTTTTTTTCTATTAGCAAATAAGAGCTTGGCCTTCTGACATCATCGCAACCCCTGTGCAAGAAGCAGACGAACTTGTGCTTTGCATAGAGGAGTCGACCTGTCGGTGGCCAAAACAGCCCTGGTGGGTTCTGCCAGGGCGACTCCTAGAGGGAAAAAAGCAGAGTAAGCGTAGGTTTATGTTGCTCAAATATGTCCCCAGTCGCACTTACCGAGTTCTGTCGTCCACGGAGTTGCCGTCCACACTCATTTTAACAGCAACATTGAGGCAAAAACTACGCAAATAACCGAGTGTGTGCATGCAAACTAATGGAGAAAGCAGGTGATGCTTTCAGTCAATGTAGCGGGACATGGCTTGTCAGAAGTGAAAAGGTGTTTCATGGAACTGCCCTACATGGATGTAGCCAAACAAAGTCAAAGTTTTGAAGTACCACGTTTTTTGGTCTGCAAGTATCCCTTGTTCAGGGATAGTGGCAGAACCTTAACAATAAAAAAACGCGAGGCATATTTATTACTGCGCATTTAGGATCTTAAATACGCGACAAATATAGTCAACTTATAAAACTTCAAAGTCACTTTTACCGTATTTACTCGCACAATGAACGCACTCGCGTAATGGACGCACCCCCCAAGATCGGTTGTCAAAGTTTCGACTTTTTTTTTTTTTTTCACTCCCGTATTAAGCGCACCCCCAACTCGGGCGTCAAAATTTCGACCCCTCCCCCCACGCGCGCGAAATGAACGCACTTTTCTATCCTGGTGCAGCGAGGTCAAAACGCCTTGCAAAAGGCGTTAAAAAAATAAAAAAAGATCCAACGGAAGCAAGAAAAAAAACCATGGGGAGGAGCTTTTTTTTTTTTTTTTTTTGCACAGCGCAGTTTGGATTTTGGGGTCGCGGGCCGCGCGCAAGGGATAAGGAAGATAAGGGGAGAAGCCCTCCTCTAAGCAACGCCTAAGCAAACTAAACGCTTGCGAAAGGCGGAAAAAAAAACCCCACAAACTAAGAGAAAAAAAAACAAAGAAAAGATTTTTTTTTTTTTTTTTTTTGCACAGCGCAGTTTGGTCGGGGTCGCGCGCCGCGCGCAAGGAGGTAGGAAAGAAGCGGAGAAGCCTTCGCCATGCAAACGAAACGGCTTGCGAAAGGCGGCAAAAAAAAAAAAAAAACAGTTTTTTTTTTTTTTTCTTTTTTTTTTTACAGCGCAGTTTAGTTACCGGGTTTCGCGTCGCGCGAGGAGATAAGAGGGAGTTTTCGTAGATCGTTTTCGCCGTCCCGCAAGGCCCTCCGCAACCCGCTACGATAGCGGGAACTCCACAGTCAAGGCTATCGGCGCGCAGGCGCAGTAGCGACTTCTTCGTTGCGGAACGCTTAGCGGAGGGGGCAGCGCGGTCTACGAAAACTCCCTAAGAAAGATGAGCGGAGAAGCTCTCGCCTGATTAACGCCCAAGCAAACAAAACAAATTGTGAAAGGCCGCAAAAAAAAAAAAAAAAAAAAAAACCCACGCACTAAAAAAAAAAATTTTTTTTTTTTTTTTTGCACAGTCCAGTTTTGTTACCAGGGTTACCAGGTCGCGGCGCGGCGCGCAAAGAGATAAGAAGTTAGGTGGATTTTTCAGGATAAAAGGTCCCTTCATTATGCGAGTAAATACGGACCCAAAAATTTTACTTCGCGTAATGAACACACCCCTGCGCCCCCCAACTTTGCATCGATTTTTCGGGAAAAAAAGTGTGTTCATTTTGCGAGTAAATAGGTGGGTAGCGGACATTTCATCGAACGCCGTTTCATCGAACGCCGTTTCATCGAATGAATGGACATTTCATCGAACGCCATTTCATCGAACGCCGTTTCATCGAATCGCTAAGGGCCGTTTCATTGAATTTCTCTGTATTGAGTTTTGGGGCATAACAGTGCTTTATAGATGTTTTACCTTACATTTGTTAAGACTAAGGTAGTCACTTGTGAAACTGTTTTTAGGGTGAAGCCAAATTACTAGAAATAAAAACCATTGGTAAAAAAACAAATGGGTATGCGACTTACTGAAAAGTTTTACTCATATACATGTCAGAAAGCATGACACTGGAGGTAAAGGACCGACAGTTAAAACACTTTTAAATGTCTGTGTCGTTTTTTTTTTTTTTTTTACCGGCTGTCCGGGGGTTTCGGTAATGTGCAATTCACACCAACTCGTTTGCACACTTACGCTTTGTTGAAGGTATTCACGAAAAGCATTTAACTGCCAGGGCAGCACGCTTATAATAAAACGATGCTCTGTCAGGAGAGCACACAAAATAAGATATATTGATACTCTGATTATCAGCTTTATGCTCAGATTGAACGTTTCTGCTTTTTTTTTCAAACTCTACAGGAGACAAAAGCTGCATAAAGTGTCAGCCAACATGGTTTCGGGCTACACCTGGACTGGAACCACCTCCCCTTCACTGTCAACTTTATTACCGACCCTTTTGCCTATGAATCATCTTCAGGACGCATTCTTGGGAAGGCCAACCCGCACCAGACAATAGTAAAGCCCTGGGTGTACTCTGTCATCTAAGAAGACAGAATTCTTTCGGATCCTTACATAACCCAAGGTTACAGGTACACGCTGTCAGACAATAAAACACTAGCCGCTTCCCAGAAAGCACATCGTGCTTTCTGTTTTTTTTTTTTTTTGTTTTCTTTTTGTCTCATTTTTAATTGTTTCATGTGACATGGAGAGGGGTCATTGTTTCATGGAGGCTTTCTTCTCGAAGCAGGACATGTTCACAATGGAACTTATCTCGTCACTGCATACCGTGATTTAAAAAAAGGGAGAATTAGATGACGTTGTGTATAAAAATCAAAATAAATTGAAAAAATATTGCAGGCTGTAACGGCGTTCGATGAAAAGGCGTTCGATGAAACGGCTTCGATGAAACGGTGTTTGATGAAACGGCGTTAGATGAAACGGTGTTCGATGAAACGGCGTTCGATGAAACGGCGTTCGACGAAATGTCCGGACCCATAATGTATTTTTCCAGAGCATCATGCTCTGACCTAATAACAAATAAACAGTCGCTTTTGATTATATGGAGAATTGTTTTTGCTGTACAAACATTCGCTTAATCGGTTGATTTATTGAATTTAAATAAAATATACACTGCTCGGTTCCATGTCTGCATCACTCAAGTGCATTAATGACACTTTTAAGATATCTAAAATGATATAGTCTGAAGATATCTAATTCAATTAATTTTTCAAGCAGACTGCGGGGTGACAAACGTGCCACAGACAGTCTGTGAGTGCCTGAGGAAAAGCAATATGTGACGTCGAAAAGAAGTCGTCTGCATAGAAATCACCCAAGTGCAGCGTTGTCAATGTTGTTTTAATTTCATTGGTTAGCAACGCTGCCGAAAATAAAAGGCACATCGGTTCAAACGAATAAAGGTCTTCCTGCAGAAATCCACAAGGTGGTACCTGGAATTCGACTTGGCTAAACTTTCCAAAGGTTACTTCTCTAACACCCTTTAATTTTATTTAGCAAATTTTACGTAAGACAGATATCAGACTTCCCTTGGCGGGTCTCTCACTTATTTCATATCCTGAATACGTCGTAAGAAAATTTCCGTATAACGAAAAGTTTATATTGTAAGGCTAACCTTTTTAAACTTTGTTAATGAATTCAATACTTTAGTAAGGCTGATAGTTGAAAACGTTTCCTGCTCAGCCTAGGATGAACGATGGAAACTGCTCTCAAGTACTTAATTTTTGTAAAGAAAACAGGTGGAGACAATGTTGCTTCTTTTTTATGTACTATGCGCCATTTCAGAGGGGTTTGCCGTTCGGCAATGCTAAGAAAAGCTAGTGTCTTCAAACATCAAACCGCACGCACTAAACTTGCAAGTTTGTCTGCTCTCCGTGATTCAGCACACTAGGTTGTCGACTTACTTTTTCACCATGAATCTATGCATTAGCTTCGATCTTCATAGGTTTTTTCCTTTAAAAACTATCGTCGACGGGTATGGCTGTAGACACTGTTAATCATATTCTTGCGTCAGTTCAGTTGTTTAGTTGCTGAACCTGGCTAAATGACAAACATGAACATTTTCATTTATTTTCACCCTTAGAAAGCCTGGTTGGGGCATAAGGGTGAAAATGAACGTATTTGTAAAAACATTAGGTATTTAGGGTCAAAACCCCTTTGTAGTTTAATGGTCACCTTGTACCAACTTATCGTCGTTTGTGTACCGCAGAAGACATTCGTATCGCAAAATTAAGCGAAAAATACATAAAACACCAACAAAACCACGTGCACACTGGAACCGAAACCAACCAAATTGTAGCCACCTTATCGCAGCGAGCGCATCAGCGCCCTCTATCCGCCAGTCAGGTAACTACCGAGATGAAAAGGTCTATATCAGGGGTCTCAAACACGTGGCCCGTGGGCCGCATGCGGCCCATGACTCGCTGGGACGTGGCCCACCGGCAACCGCAACTACAAGTCCCGGTTCCCATGCCTCGAGCACTAGAATTGGCACGCGCCACAGTGATCTCTTCTCGTCAATTACATTTCGATCGAAAGGTAGCTCTGCTCTTTTAACGTATTCTAATAGTTTAGACTTATCCGTGCTCATTTGCCCTTCGTTTCGCTTTATTTGTTGCCTCCCAGCTTTTTGTAATGTACAATTATTCCGCTTCTGGGCTAAAAGCGCGAACTATTCGTTGAAGGATAAATCTCGAGCAGTGCAAACTTTCGATCAGCAGGAGCAACTGCCAAAGATAAAGCTTCGACCTTGGGATTGTTGCCTTAAAAAAAATTTCACCATGAAAAGACTAGTGTGTGTTCAGAGTGTTGTAATAAAAATCTCCAGGTAAGCAATAACTGCCAAAATTGTTTTTTAGTGTAATGTTGGGCTTGATTGATTCCTGAGTGAATTGAGAATCAGGAATGGCAGTGTACTTGCTTTCTTGTTCTATTAAAGATGGCAGAATGTTGGTGGGGGGTGTCATTTTAATTCCTTTGTCACATTGGGTCACAGTCGAAAGTAGTCATATAAACAAATCAAATCTAAATATGTGACTTCCCGGTGTGGGCTATCTGGCCCTCACACCCAAATGAGATTGAGACCACTGGTCTATATTATGATGGTAAAAACATTTGTAACCAAGTTACACAATATGGGAAGCTATAGACTAATTAATTAAAATTTTTGTATAACATGAAAAGCAACAAGAATGCACAAAGCATGTCTTGCTGAGTGCAGATCTATAAAAAGTTCCGATACATTCTGGAGAATTTTACACCAGCCTAAGGAGTTAGTAATTAAAATGACAAATTTATTGATAAGTCAGAATCTAGTACAGCTATGTGAAAACAAATCACATATTTGTGATCACCACTGAGAAGCACATCAGATACTAAGTTTCAGCAAAATAAACAAAACAAAAATTAAAACAAAGAAAGTATCGTAAAATACTGCGGAAGCGCCCATTTTGTTCAAATGCCCACCATTAACATTTCCCAAACTTGGGAATTTCGCAAGTTGTATATTAAGTAGGTGATTTGACCGGACAAGTGCCCGTGTCTAGACTAAATCCAGTTTTCAGTAAAATTTTTTGGAGGGGGCGGGGGGGTGGGGGGGGGGGGGGGGGGGGGGGCGGCTCTTCCTTGGTATTTTACGGTAGGATTTTTGTCTTTTCCTAAACTGGGTAATGACTTTAGTTAGAGGCAGGGACGGCCGAGGAAATTTGGAAGCTTAGGGAACCCGTAAAGGTACTCTGGGGGAACATCCGTGTTCCTTGGAACCCAGTTTCCAGTTATTCCAGGATTTTAGTCTTTGCTCAAAATTCAAGACAAGGTTTGAAATGCTTTATTGAGACACTGTTGGCACATGATGAGGAGAGGAACTGGATTACCTCACAATAGCAGCAACAAGTTTGCATGATACGGCACATGTGCACCGTTCGCTAACAGCCTGGAATCTTGGAGAACATAGATCTTTAACGAACGCTTAGCCGACTCGACAGGAACACTGAGAAACAATGGAAGGTAGTAATTGACTTTTCTTGGCAGATATCTCTTCAAAATTGTGTTGAGGTTGACCAAGTCATAGCAGAAGGCAACAGAGTCATTGCGATAAAGTCATTGCCTTCTGAAAAGCGTCCTACAGCGCCACGCTACATTGATACATCAAGCGATAGATAATGGAAGAATTAGCTCAAAGTTTCAAAGAATTGTTTCTTTTTTTTTTTTTTTTTGCTTTTGACTGCGTTAAAATGTTTCGAAGCAAAAGCATAATGCTTGGCATCACACATTTGGCACAATAAATGCATTGGGTCAGTTGTTGCCTTCACAGATCCCCTGTATGGTTTTAAAACAATGATCGTCCAATCTTTTTTTTTATATATTCTTGAAGTTATGTGTAAAACCTCATTTAAAACTTTCATAAGAAGGTTTGGGCCACAACGGTAAGGTCTACTAATGAAAGGAGTCTCTTCCTCTCTACAAAGTGTAACATTGGAAAAACGTTGCATCCCATACTTACTGCCAGCATTACCATACTCCCTTCCACCCCAAGTCTGAGCACTACCAGCGCTACTGGCCAAAGGAGCCAATAAAGCTTCTCGGAGAGCGGTAAACCACACAATTTTTCGCGTTTCTCCACGCGCCAAACCGGCAACTGGTCCAATCAAGCGCGAAGAATGCGCCGTGCATTTGCGTTTGCATTCCTCAGACTTCTGATGAAGCAGAGTATACCACCGTACCGCTGTTGTCGTAGCTCTGGCAGAATTCAATGTGAGCCCCGTAAGGCGGAGCTTTTGCACGCTGCGAACAAATGCGAGGCGTGACCGCACCAGCAACACAAAGTCCCCACTTCAAATGGCACGGACAAAGCTCCAGCTCTCCATAAACATGTCCCACAATTGGATTATGCCTCCCTCCAGTGTTACCTACAGACTGCCGTGTGCTCAATTCTGTTCATTGACCTTACAAAGAGTTCTAAATAATCATTTTATTTAATAGTTGACATGGACACGTCGAATTAATTACTGGTTATAATATGGCTTTATAAGGTGCCCGAAACCAAACAAGGTCGGTAGCTGAATACAAAAATCTCCTGCAGAGCCGCCTCTTAAGTTACGCCCCAATGAAGAACTTAATTGGTGATTAGTCAACCAAACAATTAATCCTGCTCTTTAAAATATGTACAAGAGATCTTTTTTTATATTTACAACCAAGTTACCTGAAACTATAAGTCCCTCGTTGAAATTTACTCCAAGCTGATTTAACATCAAAATAAATAAATCAATAAATAGATTGCTAAGCACACAACATACGTGACAGGCTAAGGATGCAGTGGATGCTTTGCCTCCAACGCAAGCTTTCTGAAATTGACAGCGCTTTGTCACACGTGCAGCCAAAGCTCACTGGAAGACAGAGGTGGCACGCTGGAGGTGGAGCTTGTGCTGCATTTTTAGCCTGTCACTGACTGTAGGCAGGGTTCCGTGTTTTTGGATAAATCCCCCAAAAAATCTGAAAAACACTTGTCCGTAAAGGTTTTTGTCAAATCGAATTCATTTGAAAAACCCGGAATTGTGAGATCATGACAAGATAAAAAGCAAAAAAGACGGTGTTTTACAAATAAACTCTAAGAAGCTGCAGGGTCAGTGGTCCTGAGGAGATACCACTTCAGTGTCCTTTGAAATCTCAAACTACTGACGAAAGGCTCGTCAAGGTTGCTTGAGAACGACGGGTCCCATGGTGCCTAAATATAAATATTTTTTTTTTTTTTTAAGTTGAAAATGCATTAATATATATTTTAAATTTCAAAGGACTGAGGATCTAACAAAAATAAACTCAGATAAACCCCGAATCTGCAGCAAAAAATCAACTCAGAAAAGCTTCCTCCGAATTTCACGAATAATAAACTCCGAAAACACGGAATTTTAACTATGCATTATATCTGATCATTTTCTGCAAACACTATGTCAAACCGTGAGGTGCTCATCCAATGAAAACACCGGTACGAAGTGCACTTTGAGAGGTGCTGGGTACCAGGGCAGCCAATAGGAAGATACCAGCAACCCAGGGGGCAGGGACACTGGGCACGAGGGGGCTGGCGACGTTGCATCCGTTGTTGTTGCATGTGAGGATGCAGCCCTGCAGCACGGTCTCCTCATAGCGGAACACCCCACACGAGTTGTCCATGGTCTCCAGGGAGCAGATGCGGATCACCATCTCGATGTTCGTCTCCACTGCGGAGCGCCACGTTTAGTGGTGCACAAACCAAAAAAAGTATACATAAGAGTCTGCTTAAAAAGAACTTGCTCATTTTTCAAAGCTTACACTGAATACTCCTAGGTGCAAACCTGAGGAACTGGGGAAAGAGGGAAAAAGTAGCCCTATGCTTTGGGAGGGCTTGGTACGCCCGTAGCTGTTCAAACTTGGGGAGCTTGAGAAACATGGAAAAATTAGGGAGAGAGTATACTTCTAGGGAAAACTGAAAAACTGGAAAATCTCTCACCTTGACAAACTTGTGGAATGGGGGAAAGGTGTTGCCATGTTTTGGGGAGAGCTAGGAACACCTTAAGGCCCGCTTCAAACGGGGAAGTTTTTTCCAGCAACTTGGATGCATTCAGATTTTTTTTTCTTTTTTCACTATTTAGATGTGCCACAGATCTCTGCGTCAATTGCTGGATCACGCTTCCCCGCTTGGTCGCTGAAGCACGAGTGAAGTCACCGGACGGCCATCTTGCATGTGGCGAAATTTTCGCTAGGATTGCAGAGGCTAACGGCAGTGTGTTGAAGACATTTTCTACTCGTTCGTCGTCATTCGCTGAAGAAGCTTTTTAAGACTCTGTGCAAGCGTTAAGACTTGCCGTTGAGAACACACGGAAAATTTTATGAAAGCACAGCGCAGCAGGAAAAGGGCACAACTTGTCGAAAGCATGTTTCGCTGGTCTCGCGGCATGATCAAAGCTTCCTTGGCACGCTAAAGTGCTGCATCTCTGTGCATTCATATTAAAAATAGCGCAAAAGAGACGGGACAAAAAGACGAAGAAGCACACAGGACAAACGCTAACTGGCAACTAAACTTTATTGAAAGCTTCCAACTTTGCTACCGCCATGCACGTGCTTAGTCTCGTTCAACAGAGACAGGGCGTACCGCCAAATCCGCACAATCATACCGCCCACCGCCCTTTCCAAAAAGTCAGCAAAACAGCTACATCACCCCGCCGCACAATCCGAACGAGAAAAGAATAGAAAAAACGCCGCGTTAATATTGTCAAGTTAGATAGTGTTAATGAAATGGTACTCTTTCTGCTGCATATACACCGATGCGACGCTTATGCAAACGTCTTTGTCACAATCACGTATTTTCACTGCCTCCAGCAACTCTCGTTCCCTCCTTCCTTTGTTTCGTCCCTCCACCTTCGCACCGTCCAGCTTGGGGGAACAACCACAAGTTCTACAATGCCCCGGTAAGTGGGAACCGTAATTGTTGCCGTCTCTTTTGCGCTATTTTTAATATGAATGTCCACTACCAACTTGCCCAGCAGACCAAGCTTTTACAATACATCTCTGTGCCTTCGCATGCTTGGACACCGATCAAGATTCGACACCGTGTGGACGTGGAAAGACAATGCCTATGAAATGTCACGCCCCAAACTACAACAGCACGATCTTGTGCTGTTGCGACGTCAAGTTGCTGGGGAGAAACTGCCCCATCCGAAGCGGGCCTTCTAGGGAAAATTGAGCAACTAGGAAAACTGAAGCATTAAGAAACTAGGGAAAAGTGTAAAGACACAGAAAAAGTGGGGAGAATAAAAACAAATAAGGGGTGCTAAGAAGAAAAAAAAAGCCGAGGAGCTCGAAGGGAAACTGGCAAACCTGGAAAAACAGGAAACCTGGGGAGAAGGCAAAGTACTGATCTGTAGAGAGTCGCGGAAAACTCGGAAACTCCTCAAAAAGGGTTATTATGATTCGGGGAGAGATATATAGGGACCTGGGGAAAACCAGGCAGATTACAACGCTATGATGCAATATAGCCAATCGAGTGGCACTAAAAGTGCACTCTTCACCTTTATGCGTTCACTGACACTGGCTAAACCAACCGCGCACAACAAATGTGGGTAAAGATGTCGCTGGTCTGCCGCTGGCGTGGCCTAAGAAGAGGGGAGGAGCCTGGGAGAGGGGAGGGGGAGGGGCTATTGCGGAGCGCCAATGGCGAAGTGCGCGGAGGGGCGCGCGCCGGGAAGCAGGCACGGGCGCTGCGGGCTCCTATTTCAGTTGCTTTGTCGGAGTACAGATGGCGCTACGAGCGCGCTGTCGCGTGGAGTGGGGAAGACAGGGCAGACGGGCGCACCAAGGACGCGGACACCTCTTTGAGTTGCTTTGTCAGAGTACAGATGGCGCTACGAGCGGCGCAGTGCGCTCGTGACGGTTGTGCGCCTTTGCGCTACGCGGTGAAACGGGCGCACGGTCGCACTAGCGACGCCGGCGTGCTGTCGTGACGGCTCTTGCGGCCCGCCGCCGTGTTTCGCTTGCTTTTGACGGGTCTGCGCTCGGTCGCGCGTCGTCGCTCTCTGGGCGCGCTTATGGCGCAGGTCACTTGATGGACTCGCGCTCACTTTTCTGCGCGCTTTTAAACTGCAGATGACGGGGCTCTGTTGCGTTTTTGAGTTTATAGACCTTTTCCACAAGGGCGCCGCCATCTTGAATTGTCGTCACTTCCAGTATGGGCGAAAACGTTACTTTGCCGTCACCACGCAAAGAGAAGACATTTAGGATATAAGCATAACCGTCACACATTCTCGTTTTGGCTCCCCTCTATTTTTTTACTAGTTCCAGGTTGAAACGTTTTACTATTTTGTCGTCGCCCATACTGGAAGTGACGACAATTCAAGATGGCGGCGCCCTTGTGGAAAAGGTCTATACATTTGAACAGTGATTGCAGTGATGTCTTGTAAAATTTAATCGGAATAGATAAAACCATCCCTGATTGATAGACAGTTTGACGTCTATTTCTAGGTTATTGGTTGTCGTATCAATACTGCTTTTCTTCTAGCAGTCTGCTAGCTGAAAGGCTCAAGACAAACAAAGACAACGCACTGGGTACATGACCTCGCATTAACGGAGATGAAAGCGAGGAACAGAAATAACTCTCGAACGGTAATAAAGTTGTTATTTTTGCATGAAAAAGCAATGCTTGTAAATTGCGAAGGGAAATGAATTTCCTTATCAGATATTCCTGCTTTCTTTTCACAAATTTCTTTTTCTTTTCATAGGTTTGTTAGTTTGTGCACGGGTATTGTGACTCAAAATTGGAGCGAGCAAGCCAAAAGGCACTACGGCGCAAAGCAGCAGGGACTGGGTTAAAGAATTTTACATATATCCAATTGTTTGGACTGCACAATTAGTTCACATCTCTCGCCCACCATCAAACAACTTCTCACTCAGTGTATCAATAACCTGAAAAAAAAAAAATACAGTACAAATATTTCCACTTGTGTAGGTGATCAACCCAGTATAAAAGGCTCTGGATCAACCAATCGAGCGAGCACGGAAATAGAAACCGGAGCAGCTATCATCCAAGCATTTCAAACTTCGCAGTGTAGCAACTGCTGCCAGGCGAAAACAATAAAAATAAAGGAACAGCTGCACTGCGCGAAAAACTGGCTCCCACGCCACAATGCCCGATTGGAAATTTTTTTTTTTTTTTCGCGGTGGTGCTTAGATACGTGTTCCCCACCAATACAAGCCTCGTCATCGTCCGTTTATTAGAGCTCAGTTATAAAATTTATTGAGGTTTTTCGTGTTTTGTTTTTTGCTTCCACAGCACGTTGACAGGAGCACCTGTCAACGTGCTCCTGGCACTACTTGACCTCGCGCAGAGCAGAAGACATCGCGGTATTACAAAGTCCCTACATACGAGCAACTCTTACAAGCTGCGACATTCTTTGAAGCGCCGACTGCTTGACGGTGCAGTTTTAAGGAAGCGAATGGCGGCGCACAGCAGAAGACTGAACGGAATGGCGCCATTTTGTTCCAGTGGAATCTGCTTCGTCATTTGTATACATGCCTTGAACCTACGTCACATGACGACGTTGAACACCGGTAACACCCATGCTGGTGGTTGAGTCGATGGTGATTCGCGGCAAGAGCTTTGGTAAACTGCGCCGCGCTCGGTTGTAGCAATTGCTAAGTGCCCCGCCCAGCGTTTCGTCGGCATGCCCCGCGACAGAGTAATCATCAAGTTAGAAAAAGTACGAGCAGCAGGAAAGGAATGCGGGCGCGCATTACTGAGTTTGCGGACGGATTTCATAGCCGCGAGCGACCGCACTTTTCTACCGTTGTTTACGTTGGTGCACACCTTTGCCTCTGCTTTCTCCGTTCGTCCTGTGGATACCCTTGGCCTTTCGTTTCATCACGCCGTTTCCACGCTTCAAGCGCACATTTGGGCTGTTTGCCCGGCCAGACGGCGATCGGTCAGCGGCGCCGCCGTGTGCACGCTCACAGAGACGCCGCCGCCGGGGCATCGGCTTGTGCCGTCTGCGACACGATAACCTTGGCAAGGAGCGAAAGTGTGCACGTGAGCTGTTTAGGAAATATAATTTAAACCTTGATACAAGGAGAGTCGTCTTGTTCAGTATTTTTTTTTTCTCCTTTTTTCAGGGTTTAGATTATGACGGTAACCTTACTTTGCTTGCCAGTACTTCGCGAGATCGTAAATGTTTTACTACAAGCGGCTTTTTTTTTTTGCCGACAGGATGGTTTTTTTGCGTCAAAACTTCGTTGGCGGCATATGGAAACTTTTTGCTCATAGCGCAATCGCACCCACGCTAGCAGCCGCCTGCCGCTCCTTTTATAACGTCACATTTCTCCATATCGCTAGCAGGGAATCCCGATGGACAATGCCCCGGCCAAAGCGATAGGGCCATTGTCTCAACGTACAGCTATGCCTTTCCTTCTCCCTCAAACACCGCCATTCGCGTTAACCACACCCGCGCCGAGGGGCCAGACGTCCTTCGTCGCTGTGTCGCCATCGAAGTCCGGACGGAGGAAGAGGATAATCCATGCGGTAAGGGATAATCCCACAAACGCGCCAGAAGCTAGGAGATGGCGGAATCTCTCCAAGGCTCTCGGGACGAACTTCGTCAGTCAACTCAATAATCCTTCGTTGAAGGCCACGTTGGCGACCCCAAGGCGCCTCTCGCTTTGCTTCCGGGCACAGCTGACCGGAGCCATCCGCATATTA